CCGGCTACAAGGACACTTTCACAGAAGTTCGTGAATGGTCTCCAAAGCAAATTAAACTGGTTTGCTTCAATCCACCCAAACCCACCCGCAACCACTCCATGCTACGCACTCATGCTACATTATTGCAAGTACATAAGTACCTCCAGCTCTTTCGCCGTGTTGTCGCTGTTGCAACCCCTCTCCAAGCTGACGTGTGGAACCGAGCGCAGTACCGAGTGCTACCAGTTGGCTACTGTTTCTACCATATGCAGTTAATCGACCCAAACTGCATGCAATGTCCGTACCATGACTGCGACGCGGTCGAAACCATACAGCATGCCCTGATGGCTTGCCCTTGGATCCTGCCACTCTGGGATGTGATTGCAGAGCCATGGCTACAATTTGGGTTGAGGTTTGAATGGACCTAAATTCTGGACGTGACGAAAGTTAACCCTGCTCCTGAATGGATCCATGTAGCCCCTATGCTCGTGGTTCTGTGGACGATGCTAACAGCAGGCGTGATGCGGCGTCTCTGGATATATCGTAACAAGGTCAAATACGAAGGTACTGCTGGTCCCTATGTCCCTGTCATGCTAGAGCTCGTCCTCCTGCAGTGGACTATGCAAGTCCGTCGGCATCTACAGCTTCCAACGACGCTGGACGACGAGCGAACCCAAATCCAGACCGTCCTGCGCCATTTTGGTCAACATCCCAGCTACCACGGTTTCTGGTCGAAATATCCCCTGCACTTTTCGGTCAATCCGCTAGTTCGGCGGTTACCGCTCAGGTGATACCACACTATTTATTGGTATTTAGGAACAAATACTGTACAGCAGTAGAATCACAAGGTTGATAGAACTGTAGGGTTAAAAGTCAAATTCACCCCGATGTACAGTGAGCTAATCCCCTAGTTCCTTATTTGCCTTGTAAACAACACTACTGTTTTCACTTGAGTTAACTATGGTATCTACCCGAGCCACCGCTAACGCCCCCTTGCTCGCCGCTACCGTCGCCGCCGGCACCAATTCTATGGTGCAGACCATGGATGCACTCTCACCACCTACCACTGGGACCGGTGAGACGAATTCCGACGACATGGAGGTGGAAATTCACGATTTGACCTCTCCGGTGGCCAAAATGCGCGATTTTGGCTTGAACTCGTTTCCGGCAACGCGCGACGCCGCCTCCACCGATCCTGCTTCGCCGCCTATGGTGCGTGAGTATGCCACCTCCCCGGGTCCCATGGTACCTGTCGGTGTGCCAAACGGCACCTCAAACGGCGCCACGGGTGCAAAGTTGGGTCCTTCGACGACGTTGAGCCACCACCTGGCCATGGCTAGCCGGCCTGGGACCACCACCGCGAGTGCTGCAACCGCTCCTGCGCCTATGCTGCGTGACCGGTCAGCCTCACCACCATCCACCGGACCTACCAGAGTGGCCAGCGACGTCATGGGCGTCGACGATCACGATTTGGGGCCGCCGGTGACCGCCAACGACGATTCTGGCCGTTCGGGCCTATCCACCGACAACACCGTCAGCCCTGGCGATGCGCGAAGTGATGTATCGTCCCAAGCCACGTTACCTGCTCGTGTTGGTGACGCTGGATCGTCCGAAAACGTCAACCCACGCTCGCTCCCTCGCGCCCGTGGCTCTGCAGCTTCGGCTACGACTGCCACCTCGCCGCCGTCGACCGATCCATGGGCTGCCTGTGCTGCCAAACGCGCCGAGGCCACCAAGACCACTCGCATCAAGGATGTGGGTGCCCACCGTCCGTCGATGGTCGACCTGGCACCTCTCTTGGCCAAGCACGCTGCCGGAACGCTCGCCTTCCATGACACCATGCCTATCCAGAAGCACGACAAGCGTGAGGTCGTCGGGTGGCTGCACATGGACACGGGCAACCATACCAAGGCGATCAACGAGGATGCCGCCATGGCGTCGCTGCTGCACGACAACCAGTCGTTGGTCAAGGGCGACACCCTCGTTGACGTCATCAAATGTGAGAAGGATACCCAAAACCGTATGTTACGGTGGGGTATCGCCAGTGACACTGCTCTCCGTCAACTTCAAGGAACGACATTGAAGTTGCGTGTGACCACGACGTCTGGGAAGATCAAGACCACCACCATGATGTCGTTCCAAATGTCCCTTCCACACGTGCTCGATGGGTTCTACATGGACATCCCGGCTGGCCTGCAAGGTCTGTTTGAGGAACGGCTCCTGTTTGAAACCCTGCAACGCCTCGAACCTCGTTTCCTATGGGGTCTGTATACGAGTGTGTCTGCGACGACGGGCCTGGCTGGATCGCGCTACCGGATCCACTTCCTGGAGGTCACCCAATGCGTTTGCGGCACTCCACGAGCGTTGGAACGTTGGACACGCGGTGCACCGGGCCAACCACGATGGTGTGAGTTTTGAATCCATCATCCCCGAGCTGCACCAGCCCGACAACGACCTTGCCCACCCCACTGCCGACGAGTATGTGACGTGCCCCAAACCAACCAAGGGCACAGTCTCACACGTCGAGGTGCCTCTGGATGATCTGCTGGCCGAGCTGCAACTCCTCGAGGCCCAATCCAGTGCGGCTATCCAGCACCATGAATCCCATGTGGCAGATGCTGTTCGTGGCAGTGAGTTCGATCTAGCCACCATGGTGAACTCTGGCCGTGTGGATTCGATCTGCACCATGATGGCACGACACCCAGTGGACTTTGGGGTCCAGCTGCATCGTCTGTTCACTGCAGATCGCCCCACCTTTGAGCTGCTCATTCGCCAGCGTTTGTTGCACCGCTGGCTCCGTGCGACCTGGGGTGGCTCAGCATCATTTGACAAGCTGTACACCAAGTCGTTTGGACACAAGATGACCAGAGAGTCGGTGGTTGAGCTGTTCCGGGCCCTGCAACACTCCGACACCCTGGCACCCATCGTTTCCGAGACGGAAGCTGGTGACGAGCTGACCCTGTCCAGATTGGACTTGGAACTGGTGCTGGCACTGGCTGAGGTGCTTGCAGCAGCCCATAGCCCTCTCTACTTTGCATCCGATGCAGCCGTCATGGTGTCCACTGGATGCACCATTGAGATCATCCCTGCGCACCGTGGGCTGCGCTCCCTCTCGGCTCCAACCATGCTAGCTGTCCTCATGTCAACCCACCTTGGTGAAGAGCTGTGGCGCATCATGGAAACGATGTTTGATGGTGATGACGACATGAACCGAGTCATGGCGCACCTGTACGACATTCACGAGAGTGGATTCGTCAGCCTTCCACACATCGGCATCACACGATGGGATCAGGAATTGGGCCGATTTGTCGTCCCGACTGACGAAGTGGATGACACTGCCACCCCGGTGGACGACTCCACCATGACCCAAGTGGTCAACCGTCAGTACTAAGGTGCTACCGGCCAACCTCCTCGACCCAACCTCATCCTTCACCATCACCACCTGCAACCTGAACGGCCTCAAGATCAACGGACATCTCGTGGCTCGACGTCTCAAAAAACCTCCAACCTGCGTCGTCTTTCAAGAAACGAAGATGCGCAATGCACAACAACTCGATACCTTCCACCACCACCTCAACAATGAGGTTGGTGCTGGCAACTACACCCTCTTCACCAACGATCCAAGAGCAACCACTGCCGACCCGGTTCACCGTCGGCACTGCGGGGTAGCCAGCTTCTTTCACAAGTCCATGCCTGGCTTCGCCTCATTGGTTCACCTGGTCAACCACGACATCCCTGGCCGTTATTTGGTGGTCAGGACTGAATGGAGTGGTTTGCCTGTGTACATCCACAACATCTATGCACCCGTGGAGCCCCATCTGCGTGGTGCATTCTTTGCAGCCCTGCCTCGTGATTTCGAACACGACAGTCTGCACCTGGTGGGAGGTGACTTCAACATCCCTCTCCACCCATCCCTCGATGCCTCGACACTGCACTCAAGTCACGGGAATGGCAAAACCGACTGTGTGGAGTGGCTCACAGCACTCGGTGTGGTCGACGTATGGCGTCAGCTCAATCCATCCACACGCCTGTTCAGCGGCCCTGGGCGAGTCAACCGGCTGGACTACCTCTTCCTGCATGACGAGTTGACTTCCCATCTCAACCCCGAGGCCAGATATGACCCGAACGGCTATGGTGGCGACCATCTCACCCACACTGTGACACTGTCCCAGAGCCCTTGCTCCACTACCAAGGGCTACTGGCGACTACCACGAGAGCTGCTGTCCGATCCCAACATCCAACGTGCCATCACCATGGAGGCCACCACTCTTCTTGGCAAGATGCGAGCTGACGAGACCCTCAACCATGGTGCGATGTGGTATGGCTGGCTGAAACGAATGAGACGCCAGCTCATCAAATGCCATCGGCTACACATCGAATCGGCTAACACCCAACTCCACCACCTGCGACTCCGTCTCGCAGCTACAAAACGGGCACTGGACGGTGACGGTGACGATGTTTCCAAGGCTGCTGATGTTGCTGCGGCTCAGCTAGCCTACGATTCAGCCAAGTCTGAGCATGGCCAATATGCCCGCGATCGACAGTTCGACTTCCATGCGAATTCGAATGAGCGGGGAACGTCTCATTTCTTTCGGAAGCCGTTGGGAACCAAGGTGCCCATCAACTGTGTCACCGTGGATGGGGTGATGATCACCGATGAGCCCACCGTCCAAACCACGTTCACGGCGCACTGGCGATCCATCATGACGAGCCCACAGGATGCCAACCCACCAGATCACCATCGCCGTCGTGCTGTAATCGAGTCCCTCACGAAGCGACTCAACCTGGTCGACCGTGAGAGTTTCGACCAGCCCATCACTGCGACCGAGCTGCGTGA